AATCCAAGTCCGACATCAGTCCAATCGTGCTATGAGTTCGCAGCAAGCTCCTTAGCTCGCGGAGGACGGTCGAACTCCCGGAGCTCAGCTCAAGCAGGCTTGCGGCATCTTGCAGCTCTGTAATCTCAGATCGGACACGGTTTAACGGTGGTCACTACGGTCCCGCATTGTGCCCACTGCACATCTTTACGCTATATCCATATCTCCGGCGTTTTTCTTTCCGGGCAGCACTTTTGGCGCTGCGGCGCGTTTTTGCCCGCCGGAAGCCTGCGCAGCCGGGCGAAAAACGTCCGCCGATCGGCGCGCGCTGAGGGCTGTGGACCGCGGGCGGAGGCCGCCCACCGCGGGCGGAGGACGCGGGCGTGGGAAGCTCTCACGCTGCGCCAGCGCCGGCACGCCGGTGACAGGCTGCCGCCGGGCTGGCTCCGTCAGCAGCCCCGCCAGTCGATAGGCGGGGGCGAGAGCGCCGGCCGGCGCACGTTGAACGGCTCAGCGGGCGCAGGTGCGGTCCGGGGCACATGCGGAGACCCGGGGAGAGCCGATGGAACGAATGAGCATTGCCTTGGCTGGGCTTGCTGTAGACGCGGTGTCTCAGACAATGGTGCTGATCGCCCAGCCCCACTCCAGAACCAGCTGCTAAATAGACAGGGAATTTACTAGTTTTCTTAACACCTCACAAAACGTTTATTTTGGTGACCAGAACTACCAATGGAAAGAGTCAACGAGAAATTGCAATGACCTTGTTGACCCGTAACGCATCGATCGACCTGCCGGACACATTGATCGACCTTGCCTTGCCTGGTACCGAGACTCTTCTCTCGAGTTTCAAATATGCTATGTCGTATGCTAGTTGGCAAGACAAGCGCGCGTTCACATGTGGCAGCACGTACCAGATAAATCAAACGTCTTGAGAGGTTCTCGGGATTGTTTTTCGGGTGTGTTAGAGCAAAAACTTTACTATAGCGCTTTGGCAGCACAGCAGGGTTAGTTATTACAGTTTGAACAAGACTGCAGATGCAACTCACTGCCTTGTACCGTGGTGCATGGGCATTGTGTCATGGGGTACGTTGCATTACCTGGGCTAATGCCTTAAAAAGTCTCTTGTCGCTTCCAAGGAAGACGTTCGAGCAATAAAGCAGTTAGTCAGAGCACACCCGAAGTCCTTGTTTCCATTAACGTCCACAATTCCACCTTGTCAATGTGAATGTCAACACAGCATGGGAGCACGGCGATCTGTGCTAACGTCGTCAGGGGCGTGCGTGGAGCTCTCTGCCATCGGCTTGTCGATGTGCCCGCATCTCATGTCATACACCCCGGGATGACACGCCGTCCTCCCTCCCATGACTCACGCTCGTGACACCGCTGTCGGAGTTAACACCAATAAGTCAGATTGCATCGAACAACGACAGCTCAAAGTGGCATTAGAGCTCATGAGCGACGGGCGATCGGGCGCAAGATACTGCGGGCACCGTGACCGCCGATGCAGGTACGTGCACGACGAACCCGTGCCGCCGGGGCCCTACATGCCGGCGCAGTGCTGGACCGCCACGGACCCGATAAATTCGGTGGCGCCACACCGGGCGGACAGCCCGCAGCAAGACGAATGGCTGGCCGGCGCGGGCAGGAGCAGCGGCCGCCGGCCAGACTGGTGGCGCGGCCACGTGTCCTCGGCCCGGTGCCATGCGGCGCCATGGGTCCGGGCGGTCTGGGGGGCAGGCTCACCGGAGGCGTGGTGCAGTGCCAGCGCGACGGGACGGGGAGAGCGGGAGGGGGGGGAGCATTTCACCTGCGGGGTGCATTCTGTTCTCGGATGGCGAATGCGCTGTCACATTCATCGCGAAAAGTTTGTGCCAGCTTCGTGTCCGGTAGCCTGAGGTATGATGCCAGAACCACTGGGATAGTGTATACCCATCTGTTCACGGACGAAGCAATGCTTGATCACGTCGCGTGAAGATGAATAATTTCACACTGTAGATTTATGCATTTTAATTGCTGCCAGGTGTGTTAAGCATTGCATTCTAAGGCGCCCATAATTAGTTGATTTCAGCCTAACGTATAAAGTGCAACAGATCCTTTGTTTTCTACCATACATAACAGCAACTGCAATGCAGTGCTAAAAGTCCTACCGCCTCCCATAATTCCAAACAATTACGGCTGATCGTTTTTCCCAAGCAACCCTGCTAGGGAAAGACCGTCCGGCTTAGGCCCCTCCGTGGTAGCCCCGTCTCCAGCGCTCATGGATAAGTCTGACTCTTCCCCGCCCGCACGATAGCCGGGCCAACGTCACCGACCCCAGGTGATCGTTCCTAGAACATTACCGGGCCTTCGGTCATGCCCAGCCACGAAATGTCGCCACAAAATCTCCGGGCTTCAGATTTGGTCCCATGGTTTCCCGGACCGGCCGTATTCTGCGGCTAACTCGATGCATGGTTCCCCGCCTGCCCGGCCTCCACCGTGTCCTGGAGCTGACCTCGGTGCCATAGTGTCCCGCCTCCGCCCAGCCTCCGCCGTGTCCTGGAGCTGACCTCGGTGCCATAGCGTCCCGCCTCTACCCAGCCTCCGCCGTGTCCTGGAGGTGACCTCGGTTCGGTCACGATCGGACCGTAACCGGCCGGCGCCGATGCTATCGCTGCTCCAGATCCAGCCGACGTGGCCGCTCCCCGAACCCGACGGCGTGTCTCGACCGGCGGCACGATCCCCATTGCCGGCTGTAGGCGGCGCGACCGCGAGCATGCTGCACGGCCCCACCCCGTCCATTCACGGCCGGTGGTAACGAGTGTTCAGCTCTCCCGCGCACGGAACGCGCTGTCGTGCGACCTTCACTGCTGGCCGCTGGGGGAGGAGCAACTCCGTCCCAGATCGCTTGTGCGGTTTTGAGCTATCTGCTAATCTGTCCGAAGTCCGTTCCTCTCACGTTCACAGACTGAGTACTGCTGAGCCACTTATGTGTTTGAGTATTTACAAACTTGGGTATAGAGCTCTCAGTTCCGCCGTTCCAGGCGGTGTGGTGCTGAACTCTTTCTTTTGTTCGTAGACCGCGGTATGGAGATTTTGACCGCAAACCTCTCCTGCCGACTGCAACAATGAGCTACATCCCTCCTCTCGTGCGTAGTCCACTCCTGGTGTCGCGAGGGCTGCAAGGAGTGGCCGGGCCGCGACAGCCTCTCCTGGTGTCGCGAGGGCTGGGAGGAGTGGCCGGGCCGCGACAGCGTCTCCTGGTGTCGCGAGGGCTGGGAGGAGTGGCCGGGCTCGCGACAGCTTCTCCTGGTGTCGCGAGGGCTGAGAGGAGTGGCCGGGCCGCGACAGCCTCTTCTGGTGTCGCGAGGACTGAGAGGAGTGGTCGGGCCCGCGACAGCCTCTCCGCCCAGTCCGCTCCTGCATCGTGCCTGATGGGCGGCAGCAGGGGGCTGGGCGGTCAGGGGTCGGCGGCGGCGCCGCCAGGCCCGTCACGCCCGTCGTTCGGCGGCCGACCCGCTCCCGTCCGGGTGGGATTTTCCATCGGGGGAGTGTCCACCAGCTGAGTCACGGGCGACCCTCTGAAGGCCGCGGCAGCGCCACCAGACGCCGGCCCGGCCCGCCGTGCGTGCCGGACCAGCAATGCGGCCCGCGCCCCCATGATCCCAGCCAGCGGCGGCCGGCGGGAGCTTACGCGCTGTGGCGCGCCGGCAGCTCTCAGCTCCGGCTCCGAGGTTGGGGATGGGAGCGGGGGCCGCACTGGAGCACCTGACGCAATGACACGTCACACTCAAACCGGCAGCGAGGTCGGAAGCGAGTGTGGCAGTGGCCGCATGCCAGGCCGGTGGTTCGATGTGTAGCACGCCAGCCTACGCCAGCTGCAGCCGTCTGGCAAAATAAGCCATTGCTATCAGGGTCTAAAACTGCGTTGCAACATGCTCTGGTCTTGCTAAACTGTTGGCGTGTGCTCTAAATGACGCAACGGCTACCATTCCTGCGCCTAGTGCTTCGTGCTCTGCACGCGCAATAATAAGGAAAATATGTACTGAACGGAACTGAAAATGCAGCTAAGGGTGGAAGATCGTCCTCCTCATTGATGCTGACAGTCTAGCGGAATTCGATTTAGGAGGATGGCATGATCAAAAGCTTAGGACCTTTATCTGCATACTGTTCTTTATGAGATGAATATGCCGTTTATACTGTTGGAAGGGGCTTACGTACATCATCAATTTCCATATAGCCATTAGTTAGAAAACCCGGCCACGTGATGGATTTTAAAGAGACTGAACTCGTATCTTTTATCAGATACGCAGACAAATGCGTCAGCGCTTTCTACTCCCTGCATGCTTACCAAATCCTACCGTGGCATAGTTACGTCCACGTCACCGCATACTTCTGCAGTCTTTAACATAACTATGCCCATGCGAGGCCGGTACCCATAGACGTATCCGCTTGAAGGCAATATTCAAACCCACAACGTTATGGTGGCATGTACGGAAGAAATGAATGTCAAAGTGGCAGTACCTCCGCTTCTCTAAATAACAGCTTTCCCTCCCTCAAGGAAAATAATTTGGAAACATATTTCGCTAGGCCCAGAACATGACCAAGACAAAACTCACGTTTCCGGACATTGTCGAGTCTGGTGAGGACCAAAAGCGAGGTCGTAGTACCATTGCCAATTCAACCGAGCGCCAGCCAACGCTTCCAGTTTCATCGAGGATTTCGCATGATTGACTGCACAATTGCAAAAGGGTGACTTGTCTGCCCGCACTTTTCAGAGATCCGGATGCCATGCAACTGGGTCTGACACTGAAGTAACACTGTTCTTTAAGTGGTGCAGATATGCATTCCTGGCTAACCGGTATGATCTCACGAGGCCTTATGAGATCGCATGATAAGTTTCGGGGTTAGTGCTAGTCGTTCTGACACAGCAGTTACCAAGGCGAGGCAGAGCTTCGCTGGGCGCGCGGCACCCCGCCAGCCACCGTTCCAGAGGCATCTGACCTCGCACCAGCTCCCTGAATGGCGTGCGCCGTTGTACGAACCTGTGTCGTACCCGAAATCGTACGTTCCCTCAGTGTAGTAGATGGCATAGTCGACGCGTCCCCTGAGTGAAGGGATCTGCTCGCGCCGGCCGTGCCGAGCCACCAGCTCCTTCCTCGCCACACACTCGAGAACCATCACCTGTCGACAGAGAGGAACGTCAGCGAAGGGACCAACTGCAGAACAATCACCTGTCGACAGAGACTGGGCGTCAGAGAGAGGAGCAACTGCAGAACTATCACCTGTCGACAGAGACGGGGCGTCAGAGAGGGCACCAACTGCAGAACAACCACCTGTCGACAGAGACGGGGCGTCAGAGACTGGACCAACTGAAGAACAATCGCCTGTCGACAGAGACTGGGCGTCAGAGAGGGCACCAACTGCAGAACAACCACCTGTCGACAGAGACCGGGCGTCAGAGAGAGGAGCAACTGCAGAACAACCACCTGTCGACAGAGACGGGGCGTCAGAGAGGGCACCAACTGCAGAACAACCACCTGTCGACAGGGACGGGGCGTCAGAGACTGGACCAACTGCAGAACAATCACCTGTCGACAGAGACTGTGCGTCAGAGAGAGGAGCAACTGCAGAACTATCACCTGTCGACAAAAACAGAGAGAGGAGCAACTGGAGAACAATCACCTGTCGACAGAGACAGAGAGAGGAGCAACTGCAGAACTATCACCTGTCGACAGAGACAGTCGTCAGAGAGGGAACCAACTGCAGAACTATCACCTGTCGATAGAGACGAGGCGTCAGAAAGGAGAGCAACTGCAGACCCGTCACCTGTCGACGAAGACAGGGCGTTAGAAAGGGGAGCAACTCCAAAACCGTCACCTGTCGACGGAGACAGGGTGTCAGATATAAGAGCAACTGCAGAACCATCACCTGTCCACGAAGACTGGGTGTAACACTCCAGAACCGTCGCCTGATTCCGGAGGCGGAGTGTTAGAGGGGAACCGACAGTCTGCGAGCCGTTCCGCGTCTGCACGCCCCAGGGCTATCGTCTACCGATGCATTCACCAGAAACGGTAGAGAACGCACCAACATCACACTGAGGGATCGAAAGCACCACCATTACACTGAGGGACCGAACGCACCACCATAACATTGGGGGACCAAACGCACCACCATCACATTGAGGATATTTACATAGCACATTCTTAATATTGCCAGATTGGCATCAAGACGCGCCTACTTACGGTCTCCCCAGTCTCATCTGATGCCAATTGTGACGCCCTTGCCGGCCTCCTTTAACGACATCTGGTAGGCTAAAAAAACTCGTAAAAAACATTTACTCGTTGCGTGTCGCCGGCATTTGGCGGGGCACTTACTCGTTGGTGGTGGAAAAGTGCATTTTGCTTGCCCCTTGTGTGTGAACTCAACGACGGAAATCCACCTCCTCCCAGGCTCCTCCGCCTCCTCCCAGCCTCGGTCCGCCTCCTCCCAGGCCCGAGCCGCCTCCTCCCAGGCTTGGACGCCGCCCGCACGCAACGCCCGGGAGCAACGAGAGTACTTGAAAGACGCGTGGTAAGACGCTGCACGATGCGCGCGTAAAGCGGCCCACGTTCCGGAGTGCCAATGAGTGCGCACATGTGGCACTTCGCCGTCTTTGCTAGGACGGCTAAGTCTATACTGAAATGGTGCCTTTTGAAAGAACACTTTATTGGGAGAAAATTAAGTCATGTCAGGTGCCATGTCTTTATTGTGTCATGCTTCTAAAGCGATCAAAGTGAATTGAAAAGGCACGCTTTGAACACGCATCGCTTGACATTATCTTCGCTTTCTGCTATATTGATATGATTCAGTACGTAGCAATTCTTTTTCGGCATCTAAGTGATTTCTACTTTCCGATCATTTTCGTTCCTATCTGGTAACAGCATATTTGGCTACGTAATTGGGCTACTGTCAGCTGGGTTTTGGCGTCACCGACGCAACCGGTGTAAGCGATGGCGACGATGACGACTGCGTAACAGTTCAGCGTGGCGTGAGACGACCGAGACAGCAGAAGCAAGACGCATCACGACAGGATCTGGTGACTGCCAGTACAAGCGCAGTGCCAGACGCTACCACAGCGTGGCCTACGCCCGCATAATGCAGACACGAGCGCGGTGCTGCACGTGTCGAGCCGGGAGCACTGGATGCTGTAACGTCTGTGTCACATGGACGACAGGACCAAAGGTCTGCACGGATCTGATGGGTCGGCGGATGCGAATTAGACTGGACTACAGTGCATCGGATGAGCAGCCTCTCAAGGGGCATGAGACAGGATATTTGACTGGATTACTAAACTGCCCACACCAAGAGGATATGAGCCGATCGAGCACTTCAGTGGGATTTTTTGAACACCGGATAAATGCGCTTATTTTCGTTTTATTCACCACATCCTGCCACAGAGCTGAAATGCGAGGAATGCACCATTGCGAGGAATGCACCGCTGAAAATGGCTTACGGCGTCGGCGTTTGGACGCATCGCAAATCTGGACACAGCAGGGTGGATACCGCGATCAGCGCTACTGACGAGAAGAGCTCCTGCCTAGTGATGGTAGCTTCTCCTTAAATGAATTTCAGCCCATGTGATGTTGTGATGTTCGTTCAGCGCGGATGAACGGTTTTGGAAGCGTTCTCGCTGTCCGCCGCAGTGCCGCGGCTCGAAATCCTCCCTAGCCGATCCTTGTTGTCCCCCGCCGCAGGGGCGCTTATGGCCACAATCAGGTGGTGGCCTTAGACAGCTCGCAACCGGTCGTGCGGCCGCAGGCAGTCCTTTCCACTGAGCCTGCGCACGGTGTTGGGTAAGGCCGTGCCAGTGGCGCGCAAGGCTGCGGCCTCGACAGGCACATGGCGTGAGTTTGACCCCTGACGAGCTTCATCAGCGGAGAGAAAGGCTCCATCAAGGCTCCATCAGGTGCTCTGACCCCTCAAAGCTGAATTGTACCGTCGAATAACACCGAAGCAGCACGCGATACCGCTACACCGCCAGCACATGATCGCCCAGACGTCGCCCTGGAGCTGTCCCCGTCGGCACTTTTGCAATTCCCTCAGCTGAGAAACGGCTCTCGCCGATCGTGGCGACAACAGCACGACGATCCCGTCCGTGGCTCCGACGTCAGCTTATAGCAGTGCCACTGCGGTCCACACCTCCGGCCACACGCCTGACCTTGTTCAGGCATTCCCCAAGGCGGCTGATTGGCGCCTCTCGCCGGCGAAATTAACTCTGCATGCAGCGCAGGACTCGATAAGCAATGCGGCCAAATGCTGCATACATTACGTGAGAGCCGCAGCAACGTTCTGGCAGCACAATTAGAGCCGACAAACACAGGTTACGCCGTAGATCTGCATGTGCAATTATGTTAGGAACGTCACATTCCTCTAAAACCGAGACACGCAGGCCAAAGACCAGCATACACTTATTTGCAACACCGCGCACTGGAAGACTGCCCACATGCAGATGGATGGCAAAGTTTGGTATGTATCTGCAGAGCACTGGACAGCGACGGTCGGGCCACCGGTCACGCTGTGTGTCTGCTGTCACCACCCACCCCTAGACATCTGACAATCCTAGATAGCGTCCTCCACCGAGCGATCGCTGCTGATGCCGATTTATGGGCCGGATTCTCGACCCGCGTTGTTTTCAGCAGTGCTTAGATGCATGCATTATTGGCATCGCCGGGGTCCAGGGCGGGCAGGGGCTGTAAATCCGGGACGAGACCATGGCCAGGGTCGCGGCCGCACCGGGACGCCGCCGCGTCGACTTGCAGACCCCGGGTCGGCCCTGGCGTCACGGGCAGTTTGGCAGGCTCACTCACTCCGGCTGCTGGAGGTCGTGGTCCGGATTCCATTGCGTCAGTATCGCCGCCATGCGCCAGAGCCTGGCTCCGGGCCCGGTCCGTGTGCGTTGTTCAGGGACGGGCATTCCAATGTGTGGTGCGGCTCCGGGACCATCGGGAACGCCCGCCGAGCGCCTTCGAGACCGGCACAGACAGGGCCGGATCACCGCCTTGCGTGCCTGGCCCGAAGACAAGGGTGACCAAAGGCATAACATCAACAGCCGCATCCAGGCGCTTTCAGCCTAAGCTTCGTCATCTTGAGGAAAATTGAAAAAAACGAACAAAAAAACGGCAACGCTTGGTGACCCACGTGTCCAGTGTTCCGCCGTTTTTGACGCCCCTGCACGGCACTCCACCGCACCAGCAGCGGGCCGGTCAGTTACGGAGAGTGGTTGCAGCGGCCCCCGATAGACGCGGGTGGGGCGCCGGGTCGGTGCCGGGCTGGGACATCACGCGGAGGGCGAGCGGCGCCGGCGCCGTTAGGCCGGCCTCGCCACCGCCGCGGCCATTTACCGTGACCCCCGGATGTCCGGGTCCTGGCCCGGCCGGCGGCGGCGATGTTTGGTTAACGGTGGCGGTGGCAGAGGTGTAGGGAGACGGTAACATTCTGGGACGCATATTGAGCTACGGCGGGACAGATCGCTGCTGGACAGTGAGAGCCGGGACGGGTCACGGGAATACGGCGAGATAGGTCTCGGGAGTGCGGTAGGATATGGTGGGATACGGCGGAGCGGGCGGGGCGGGACAGGTCGCTGCTGGACAGTGAGAGCCGGGACGGGTCACGGGAATACGGCGAAAGAAGTCACGAGAGTGCGGTAGGATATGGTGGGATACGACGGGGCGGGCAGGGCGGGACAGGTCGCTGCTGGACAGTGAGAGCCAGGACGGGTCACGGGAATACGGCGAGAGAGGTCGCGAGAGTGCGGTAGGATATGGTGGGATACGACGGAGCGGGCGGGGCGGGACAGGTCGCGGTGGGACTTAACAGGAATAGGCAGCTGTGAGGTGGTATGCACAAGACGACATTGCTGGCGTCTGGACGACGTTAAAGGCTCAAAATTACCGATGCATGTCACAATAAATTCATTGCTTATTTTCTGCTGCACGCCACGAAAGCGCGACGCAGATATGGGTGGTAGGCATGGAAAGTCATGGGATAATAAACGGCTAAATGTAACCTGCCAAATATTTTCGGAGTCATTGGTTGTGAATGCGATACAGGGAAAGTTTTTACACCTACTTTTCATGAAGCATAACATCGAAACATTTGGACCAGTCCAACAACATAGCATTGATACCTCACGCTAGTATATC